TCTGTTATATCTATTGCAAATCTTTTTTCAATATACCCTCTTATTTCTTTTTCTTTTTTTGCGTTTACTTCTTTTTTTGCTTTGTCTCTTAATATATTCCACTATTCTTTTATCTCTTTGCACCATCTACCTGTCAGCTTAGGGATTTGAGTATTATACTCAGAATTTAGCTGTCTAATTTATGCATTATAAAGCAATTCTTCGATCTCATCTATGTTTTCTTCTAATTTTTTCATACCCTTCCTATATAACTTTCCAAGTATCTTTGCTCTACTATATACTAATGACTTGGGAGCTTTTTTTCTTATTTAGCTCTTTGTATTTTGAGTTTTTGTAGATAGGATGAATTCATTTGCAGCTGTTGTGATTGCTTTTGACAATACTTCCCAGCTCTCATCGATCGTTTCCCTATTTGCACTCTGTATTCAGTCATGTTGCTTTTCTTGTTTTCTTTTTGTATTTGTGATTATTCTTTCTACTTTTTGACTATAAGCTTCCCAATCCTCTTTTGTCACTTTGTGATATAGATATATTCTTCTTATCTCATTTTGGTTTTTCCTAGTTCTCATTTTTTCCTTTTTGAACAGATTACTACTATCTAATTGTAACTAGACTATGCTATGATCACTATCTGTTATCATTTCTGTGCTATCTATATCACTCCTTACAATAAATGACTTTAAACCTTGACAACACTAAATATAATCAATTCGCGTTGCAACATTGCTATTAGACCAAGAAAATTTAATTGTCTGCGGGTTGCAAAAATGGAAGGTCGCTATGTTGTCTGTATTTTTGAGCCACTTAATGACTTTTGAGTTTGCATCTTGTATTCATTTATCCTTGCTACTTGTATCTAACTTATTATTTAGTATCACATTAAAATCTCCCATTATTATACTATACGTATTCTTCTTCTTTTTAATTTGCTCTTCTAAGATTATCTTGTGTACTATTTTAGCTATTTCTGTGTTTTTAGGTGGTATATATAAAACCCAAACCTGCAGTACAACTTTTCTGAAATAGAATTCAGCTTTGAGCAGATATGGGTTATACTTTTTATATACTCCCATATGATGTACCCAATCCTGATCTACTATTAGACTGACTTCAGATCCTTTATTCTTGTTCACTTCTGTATCAGTTCAAAAGCTTCTATACATCTCACTCTCTAAATTGAACCATTTGCCTTCTTTCTCACTTATATTTGTTTCTACAATTCCTATTATATTAAATTGCTCTTCTCTGCAATATTCTGCTAATCATTCCAGCTTTGTCATATCTCCTTTTAATCCATTGATATTATATGTTCCTACTTTAATCCTATCTTTCCATCTGTCTTTCATCTTTGCCTCTTTGTTTCTTTCTTCCTGCTCTCTTGACTCTTTACCTCTGTTTTGGTTTGACGTGTTGTATGCCTTTTTTGTATGCTCAAGTTTTCCTTCATGAGCTATACAGGCTTTCTGTAGTTGGACTTTAGCAAATTTTAGGAGCGATTTAGAGCATTTTGCTCCTACAATCTTACTCGTTCACCTAACCCTTGAATAAGTTGAACTACATAGGCTAAAGATACGTTAGGATCTTCTTGAAGCTTTATTGAGTCTGCATGTTCTTTGCTTTTTTCCGTTCTTTTTTTCTTATTAAATTCTTCTCTTTTATTCTCTTAGAACTCTTTTTCCCTCGAGTATTTTTCTTCTTCTTCAAAACTATTACTTACTACTATGTTTTTACTTGAGCCTGCTTGTTTATATCTTTCGTTTCTCCAGTTCTGTTCAAAATTAGCTTGCTTTTGCTTTGCTCTTTCATATGTTCGATTCTCTATATTAC